ATATATATATATATATATATATACATATGTATATGTATAATGTATATATATATATGTATACATATGTATGTACATGTATATATATATATATACATACGTATATACATATATATGCATAAATATATATGTATATATATTGTATACTTGACAAAGATGTATAACTTCATCGGGTAAATAGATATAGCAGGATACAACTTCTGCGAATTTTTACCTGTTACCAGAAATTTAAGTAGATGGTCAATGGTTTCGGCTTTTCAATTCTTTTCTTTGTTGTAAGATTGAATAATAATAAGCTATCTTGTATTTTCAGTTTTTTTACTCAGAATTAATGGCTTGTAATTGTTATTGAAATGATTACCTTTGTGGGCTTAGTGATTTTTTGCTATTAATTTATAGCAAATTGCAAATAAACAGATTCACAAGTGTATTTTTAGAATCGACGTATTTATTGTAGGCCGTGGAACTTTCTCAAACAAACGTTTTGGGCAAGGAAGATCAGCTGATATGCAACAGTTCTATTGTGAAGTGTGTAAAATCAGTTGTGCAGGTGCACAGGTAAAAATGAATAATGCGATTTAACATATCATCAGATTTGTTGTTAATAAGTTGGTTTCATTCGAGGAATGGAAAAAACATCTTGCATTTTCTTTTGAAAATAATTGTTACAGTAGTTCGAACTTTCAACTATTTCCTGATTGCTCAAAAAAAAGTAATTCGATGAAAAATTATTATTTCAGACCTATAAAGAACATATGGATGGACAAAAACATAAGAAGAAGGAAGCAATGCAAAAAGGTGATGGACAAACATTATCTAAATCACGTGTATCATTTCGTTGTGAAACCTGTAACGTCACATGTACTGGTAAAGATACTTATGAATCTCATGTGCGCGGAAGTAAGCATCAGAAAGTGAGTTGTTTGTCTTAGGTTTTTCAGCATTATGGAAATCTTTCATACATATACTTTTTTGCTTAAAATTAGCTTATTTGCCTGCTTATATAATACCATTTGAATGCATATAACTTAGACCGCGAATTTGATGAAGAAGTTGGGAAAACCAGTTGCCGAAACACCAACAGTGCTTGCTCCTGGTGAAAAGTCGAACAAACCAGGGGTTCAGGCCGGTGGTACTCCAATTTCAACAGTTGGTGGTCCCGCTGTACCGACGAAACGCGTAAATTTTATCCGTTTTTGAGCGTTTCTACCTACAACAAAGGTTAGGCTGAATAACAGATTTGTTATTCAGTATCTTGTGAGAGGAAAAGCTAAAATTTTGTCTATTTTTTTTTCATTTATTTGTAGTGTAATGGTAGTAAGGTGTTATAGGTTATCGGTGTACCAACCGTCAAATTTGTTGGTGGTGAGAAATTGCAAAGTACAGCCCAAGAACTGGCACGAAAGGCTGCAAATGCCGCTGAAGCAGCCATCGAAGCGTCGGGTCAAAAAAGTGCTGCTGTTGAGGTTGGCTAATAGCATAGCTTAAAGTTAATCTTAAGTTTTGAAATGCTCGAAACGATTCAGCTTAAATGTACAGGCTAAAATAAAGTTTTAAAATACAACTTTAGCTAAAAATTTTTAAGTTTTGTTGGGATCTTTCATTTCCATTACCTAGGCCGCTCTGGCTGCTGAAAAAGAAGTGCAACCGGTTGGAGAAGATTATGTTGAAGAAGAAAGGAATGCATCCGGCAAACTGATCCAATACAGTTGCAAACTGTGCGATTGTAAATTCAGTGATCCAAATGCCAAAAATATCCATATCAAAGGACGCAAACATCGATTGCAATATAAGGTGTTGTTTCAAACATTCCATAACTCGCTGTTGCACATTATTATTAATTCGTTAAAATCGCTTAAATATGTTCGAGTGATTGTTATGTTGTACATAACGCAAAATATTGAGCAGTTTCGATTGGCATACCTAAATTTCAGATGAAAGTAAATCCAAATTTGGTGGTCGAGGTGAAACCCAATCAAGTTCCACGTGAAATGCGTAACGAAATAGCACGCAAGCTGCGTGCACAACGGATGCATGTCATACCGTATGCCTTACACTATCTTATTGGTTTACTTTCCTTGCAGCAGTTTGATACAATGTGGAATGCGCTAGGTGTACAGTAATATTTCGAAAGATATGACCTGGTTAGTTCTTTCTTTTAGAGTTCATTGCGATTCTCTTAACCGATTTAGCTTAGGCCCCGTCCGCTCGGTGCTCCACAGCCGCTGCTTATGCCGTTACCAGCACGTCCATGGTGCGGAATCATGGATCCTGGAAGACGTGTAGAAACCGTAGAAGATCGACATGTCATGGCTAAACATCATTCGGTTTGTCTCAGTTATTTTTCTTAGGAATTTCTTTTATTAGCAATATCCGAAACCCAACTATTTTAATGCAGCTGGGTTAGTTGAGGAATCTGGGACTATCAATTACTTAGCTTTGACTGACGTGACCATGCTAATATTGTTCTTGCTGTGATACCACATTGTGATCGTTTTAGAATTATCATTGATAAAACTGTTTGTCCATTCGGAATTATCGATAGAATATTTTAGTTAGAATTTTAGAGGGTTTATTTTTGAAAACTTCTGGTCGTTGTTTACTTGAAGTGGGTTCTGATTAGACATTTATTATTTTTTTCTGCAGATCTATCCGGAGGAGTCGCAGTTGACGACTATTGAAAAACTCGTTTCGGTGACTGAGAAGGCGCTAAAGGCTGTTTCGGACAGTTTAGCACAAGAGTACGTTCTTTTTCAACTACTTATTTGTTTCTTTTTTCTTTATCTAAAACTAGTTTTTATTGAGATTCCCAAAAAAAAAAAACCGCTGCGCTAATAAAATTTCGTTAATCAAGTTTATCATGTAGAGATACAAAGAAGCCTGATGACGAAATAGCAGAGTCGCAAGAAGAAAGAATCGCATTACATTCTACTGAAGCACAGCAATCTGATCGCATTCTAAAAGGAGTTATGCGTGTTGGTCTTCTAGCTAAAGGGTTGTTACTGAAAACTGACAGAGAGGTATATTGTATTGTCAAAATTTTTTTCAGTTTGGTAGGTTGATTATATAAAAAAGGGTATGGGCGGCACGCTATTCAAATCACAGTTGCTTTATGATTACATATACATATTTACATACATCATATGTATATATATAT